ATTTGGTCTAGTTCCAAAGAAAGTACAGTTGCCACTTTCCTTTACAGGCAGTATGCTTAGCTTGCCAGAACCTGGTATTAAGCAGGTTATACATTGTACGAAAGCTGTAAACTTGACTCACACACCCAACAGCTTAAGATCGTACAACATACTAAGCCAAAACTGAAGAAACGACTTTCAGTAGTATCAGACTTTTTCACCCTTCTATTTTTGTTAATAGCATAGGTATAAAAAGAAAGAGATTCTGATGTAGAATTGCCTCTGTCTGTACTAGAAGTCATGAATGCAGAAAGTAGGATTTTTCAGTGCTTTGCTTTAGTTTCAAAAAGTATCAGCAATTTATTAAAACAGATGTGTCTGTTTTCAGGATCCCTGTTTGAATGATTCACCACCAGGTGCTGTGTTTGTGCTCTTGTGCATGCCAAAGCACCTTTTTGGAAACTAATCCTAAACAGTATACGTTCTTGGTAGAGGAAAAGCAAGAGGCAATTCAGAAAAATAGAAAAGGGACCTTAAGGAACAAACCATTAAGTCATGAGGTCCAGTAATGTGTATGCTAGTTTTCACCAATCCAGTGTCCGTCATATATTTTCTACAGATAATTCTCAACTTATGACCACAATTGAGCCCAAAATTTAAGTTATTGAGATATTTGTTAAGTGAATTTTGCCCTATTTTATGACGTTTCTTGCAACAGCTATTAAGTAATTCACTGCAGTTGGTAAGTTAGTAACACAGTTGTTAAGTGAATCTGGCTTCCCCATCGACTTTGCTTGTCAGATGGTCATAAAAGGTGATCACATGACCTTTGGACACAGCAACGGTCATAAATATGAATCAGTGGCTAAGCATCTGAATTTTGATCACGTGATCGGGGGGTGCTGCAAAGAAACTGTCATAAGTCACATTTTCCAGTCCCATTATAACTTTGAATGGTCACTAAATGAACTATTGTAAGTCGAAGACTACCTGTATTTACCTCATCATCCTGGCTTAACAGTATGCTTTTTTATGAAACCTTCCTTCTAGGAATTATTAAGGACAGAATCCCAAAAGAAATAAAATATTTATTGTTACATATTACAACACCTGCCAGAATAGTCTTTGCACAAGTATGGAAAACTCCCCATATTCCTAAAGAAGAACTGTTATTACAAAAAGTAACAGAAAGTGCTGAAATGAATATGTTAATGCTAAAATTGAAAGAAAGAGATGACCCTGAATATTTCCTAATCTGGAATGAATGGTATGATTGGATAGCAAACAGAACTAAAAAATAAGACAAGAAATCCAATAGTAAGAAATCCTGAGAAAGTAAAATGTAAATTTGTAAAATATATAAGAATATAAGAATAACAATTATAGTTAAAGTTATGAATTAATATTAGATAAATATAAATACAATGTGTTAAGATATTTAAGATAAGAACTTGTATAGATGTCAAGAATGCTGTTGAAACGATGATGTTTTATGTTGAAACAATAGAAACTTAATAAAAACATATTTTAAAAAGTATGCTTTTTATATATATGGATATGGATATGCATGCTTTGAGGGATTTTCATTCATAATATAGGTCCATGATGGCGAACCTATGCCATGCCTACCAGAAGTGGCACACAGAGCCATCTGTCCGAGCACGCAAGCCATCTGTCACTTGTTACTCTTCTGGGTTCTGGCATGCGCATGTGCACTGGCCAGCTGGTCTTTACGCATGCGGGAGTGCCGGAAACCAGAAAAACAGCTCCCCGGCACTCACATACTAGTCTTCGTGTGTGCATGAGCATTAGAAACTGGAAGACCAGGTGGCTGGCGTGCATGCATGCGCCGGGAAGCTAAGTTTCCGGTTTCTGACGCGCACTTCCATTCCGGTGCCGAAAAGGTTCGCTGCCACTGATACAGGTAATAGGTTGGGAAGTTGGACTATACAGATTTTCCAGGTTCTTCCAATCTTATTTAAATATGCCAGAGTGCACATGTAGTCCTTTTTGTTCTCTATCCCTAAACTACAGCCTTAAATATAAAAGTATTTTAAAATTCTTCAGTGTGATATGCTACAATTATGTCCTTTGGCAATGCTGAAAAAGAGTTGCAAGCTCGACACATCTGGAGACCAGAAAAGCACATCCAAAGCAATTTTTAACTGCACAGTTTGAAGAAGGAGTTTTATCTTTTGCTTCACAGAGATGCCAGCAAATCTGAATCTGGGTCTCTCTTTATGTTCAGTAACACTGAATTTCTGACTAGAACTAGTACTGACAATTGGATATAGACTCCAGGTCTTTTAATTCATTGTTAACTTTAGATAAGATGCTATGATATACTTGCTATCTTTGGAACAATCTCCTTCTTGTATTCATCTCACAAATATGGACAGTTTTTCTTTTCATACATAATAGAACCTCAGCCTTGCCAGATTTCCAAAATATTTAAAGATGTGAATAAATCTCCAAATACAGCTGGTTGGTTTTTACCTTGATGATCATTAAAGATTTTACATATTGCTTTGTTTTCTGTTCTTACTTTGTATAGTATTTTTATCCATTCATCATAACTACCCAGAGTGACTATGGTAAGATGGGTGATAATATTAATTGGGGAAAAATAGAATAATAAGAGTTCTGTTCCATGAATGTGGCACATCTTTAAAAAAAATTTTTTTTCTAACCTTGCTTGTTTTAATAAGCATGTCTGAGGACATGCCTCAGATAAAGATACCAGCTGAGAAAGACATCAATTCATGACTTGTATAAAAGAAGATTAGATTAGATTAAATTAAATTTCTTGTAGAAAAGTTACATTGAATTAAGAGTAGAAGTGCTTCAAATATCCAAATCTCAATCTTGAGGAAATCAAGGAATTACTGTTAAAAGCTGTTTTGTATTTGTCAGTAAAGACTTTGTTCAGCTTTTTGTACTGAGGTGGCTTTGCGTGTTGGGCCCTTTGTAAATCCATGTATTGAGTCTTGGTCTTTCAGGTTGGACTTAAATTGAGGAATAATGTGTCAGTGCTAAAGTTCTACAGCAGTGGTCCCCAAACTTGGCAACTTTAAGACTTGTGGACTTCAACTCCCAGAATTCTCCAGCCAGCTGCACATAGCTGGCTGGAGAATTCTGGGAATTGAAGTCCACAAATCTTAAAGTTGCCAAGTTTGGAGATCTCGGTTCTATAGGGTGGCAATCTTTCCAGTCACATTCTACATCTGATGAGTTTCTGTTTGAGGCATGCTAAGATGATTCACAGTAATTAGATATGATTTTTTATGCAGAATGTATTGTTTGAGAAGCTTCAGGATAATAATCTCAATCAATAAAAATGTATCTGTCTATAAGTTCAGTTGATACTACTAGATGTAGGTAACATGCTTCTAAATCAGGGGTGTCGAACTCACATCACGGTAGCATCACGTGACATATCAGGACTTTCCCCCCTTCATCAAAGTGGGCGTGGGCGTGGCCAGCAGGTGATGCATCTGGCCTACGGGCTGGGAGTTTAACAGCCCTGTTCTAAATGCATCTTTAAATTTTCACCTGTGTACTTAAGGAAAGTCCTATTGACCAACTGGTCATTCTGGATGGGGCTCATAAATGAGCCAGAGGGGAGAGAATTCGTTACCTCAGTTTGTGTCCTGACTAAAAATGCCCTAAAAGGAAAGTACAGTTGGGGCTCAAATTGCTTCCCTAACTTAGAGTATATCCAGACCAGCATTCCTGCTTCTTTTTATTTTTTTTTCTTTTATTGTTTAAAGTATGCTCTCATTATCCTGGAACAAATACCAGCTTGTTTTTCAGTATATATTATGTAGTACATAGTTTTGGAACGTAGAGGAGAAAAAGATTAGGGACTTGATTATAGCTGTTGGGATGTTTGAACACATTGGTATAAATTAGTTCAACCCTCCTGTAATTGGAAAAGGGATGGGATAGTGGCAGTGGTGGGATTCAAAAAAAAAAAAAATACTACCAGTTCTGTGGGCATGACTTGGTGGGCATGGCAGGGGAAGGATCTCCAGGCAGAGATGGTATTTGCCGGTTCTCCAAACTACTCAAAATTTCCGATACTGGTTCTCCAGAACTAGCCAGAACGTACTGAATACCACCTCTGGATAGTGGACAGTACACCTGTGTGTAGAGCAGAATTTAAGATTTGTGAGAGAGAGGAAAAAGTGAATGTTGTACAGCTGGAAAATGCTAATGATTAAAGGCATCAAACTAGAAACTAAGAGGCTGTGAGTTCTAGCCCTGCCTTAGTCATGAAAGCTGGATGACTCTGGGCCAGTCACTCTCTCTCTCAGCCCAACCCGCCTCACAGTGTTATTGTGGAAAAAATGGGAGACGGAGAGAGTATTGGCTATGTTTGCCACCTTGAGTTACTTATAAAAATAATAAAAGGTGGTATTTTTTTTAAAAAAAAATCAGCCTTAAATAAATAGCACTAAAGAATATGCTGGAAGCCCTTCATCTGAATGGACTCGTCCATGCGAGATAGCAGACAATTATGCCACGCTTTCGTTTGTGCTTTGGAACGTGCAGCTAATGGATTAGCTGAACCGCACCATACTCAAACGCTCCCAGTATTGCTACAAATATATTGAATTGTCAGAGCTAAAGAGACTTGAGCTTATTCATCTTGCCCTTACCAGCTGCTGTTTGTGGCATTTTGGAACAAGAGCCGGAATCAGAGGGAGGGGAAGGGGGGAAAAAAAAGGGATGTTGTCTCTTTAAGCAGCTGAGCAAACCATATGCCAATAGCGTAGCTCTTGAGTTAAACTGCATGTCTGTGTGCTGAGTAAGGAATGTGGTTGCATGCCTGACCCGTTAGCTATGACTGCTCCTTGGTGGATCGGCTTTTGCTCATGTGCTGAGCTCATTCAGGCTCGCTGGAGTTGGCGCTACGCATACACAAGGGGCGAAGTCAGGAGGAAAATAATCCTGCCGAGGAGGAGGAGAAATATTTTTGTCCGATTACCTTCCTCTTTCCTTTTTTAATTTCTCCTCAAAGCTGGATCTGTGGGTGCCTCAGGCTCTCTCTTTCCCTTTTTTTGGAAAGAGGGGGCTTTCTCTCCCCCCCCCCCCCCCAGCAGCTGTTGTTTGGCGAGGACAGGAGATAACTCTGGGAAAGACGCAATCCAGCTGCCTGGATGCCTTTGGATGTTATGATTGCTTCCTCTGAGGACCAGACCTGGCCAGACATGCACAAGGGGCAGATGAAGCTGAAAATCAGGGTCAGGCGAATGAAGGAAAGCAGAGACATAAGAGGTTGGTCTCCCGGATTATTACCCTTAAAAGAAAAGGCAGAGGTGCGCATGAAAAGTGAACGGAGAAAGGAAGGGAGGGCGGCACGGAGAGCTTGCTTACTATGGACTGGGAAAGGAGATGGATTGAAAGCTGGCACCTTGCACTTTTAGGATTGAGAGAGTATCTGCATTAGGTATGTGGTGGTAGTGGTGGGTACAAATGCCCATTGTTCCCTGGGGTGTGCAGATGCAAGATATGGGCAGCAATACTAAGTATGCTCCAATGTCCTTCTGAGGAAATACGGTCTGAATTGGGTTGGCACTGCATGGCACAATAATCATACATGTATATATAAAACTATATCTATATCTATATCTATCTATCTATCTATACACACACACACACACACACACATGCACACACACACACCTTTTGGGAAATGTGCTGATTGTTGCTGTTTGCTGCAAGAAGACTGTGAGAGTCAGTGGGAATTTAAGTGATGAGTACTCTTTCAAATTTTGATTTAAGGAGGAACTTCCCCCCCCCCCCCCCCCAAAAAAAAACCAAGTTTAATTTTGTAATTGACTGGGACAGGTTAAAACAGGAGTGCAAAGGAAAGATCAGAGAAGGGAAACGGATCTCTTATGTAATCCACCACATGTTCCTCTATCTCCTGTGCACTTTTTTTTTTTAGAGGTCCCTGTCAAAAGGATGTGCAGATGGAAGGGTGGGGTAGATGATGGAAGAAACAACAGACCCTGTGTTACTATCCTCAGGTTTGCATCCAGCACATTTTCTTTGTTTTCTTCCTATGACTGATAGCATTCATTCTTGGGAAAGATTCCTCAGCATGTCCATAATAGCTTATTATTTGCAGAAAGGAGTGGAAAGCAGCCTTTTAAAGCGGTAGAGTGACCTACTTTACCAAGTGGTGAGACTAAGAGTTTCCCATCACTCTTGACAAAAATGGAAATTCTCCTACAGTGCTTGACCTTTTCGTTTGTCTGTTTTTTAATATGTCAGGAAGGGCATAGCTCAGAGATGGTGTCATTAGCAATAAGTCATTTGTGGTTATGACACATTTTTCTCTACTTAGAACCTCTAAAGCTGGTCTAAGTAAAATACATGAACCAGAGGGAAAATCTAGATCAGAAGTACACAAACACTGATCCTTCAAGACTACCACTATTTCATATTGTTGCTTTTTTCAGACTGATTTCCTGGTTATACAAGCCTTTGCACAGTCACAAAGTAGAATAGAGTTGACAAAAACTCAGGGGAAAAAAATGACAGGTTGAGGGCTGTTATACACATCTTTCTAATTTTCTGCATATAATTGAAATTACTTGTCGAGCATTCTGTATACTCTCTCGTGAGCCAAAATAATTTCCTAATACAGCTGATATTCTTCAAATTTCCTGGTGTACAACTCTTACTGCAGCCATTGGAGGGCATCACCTTGGAAAACACGATCCTAGGTTATTCTTTCTAATTAATAGAGTCATATCTGTTTGCATCTGGCATATATTTTCCCTCAGCAAGAGGAAAATGAGGCATCTAGGAAGAAAATGCCCATTTTGCTTAGGTATGAAAGATTACATTGCCATTTGGATATCGTTTGGGAGCACTGATGAAATTAGGTTTCCTATTCTTTCAGTTCCATGTTGGGATAATTAAGAAATAATAATTTCTAATCTGTCAAATGGAAACAAATGGTCTTACTTTTTAAGTATGTAAGTATGGATAAATCATATAGAGACAAAAAAAAAGAGAGAGAGAAAGGTGTATTGGTAATGACGTGTGGATAGAATAAATACAAAATTGCTTTCAAAAAGTCTGACTTGGAGAAGATAGAAATGGATGAGCCTTGAACTGTGGTGCTGCAAAGTGAACATTGGTAGCATGGAAAGGGAGATCAACTGATGTGCAAGAAGCACAATGAAGCAGGAAGAGGCCAGACAGCAGAGATCTAGTAAGCCTTTATGCTACATTGATAGCCTTTAAACAGAAGTCTGGTATGAGATCCTAAAGCCACTGAGAGCACAGTATCAAAAGAAGCAGCTTCTGATGAATGTAAGAGCAGCATTTTTTTTTCTTCCCCCAGAATCTCTCTTATCTGCCGTTAAAAGGTCATGGCGAAACAGCAGATGTTCTCCTGGCTTGCACAAGGAAAGGCAGTGAGATTGCAAGAGAAATACGCAGATCATTCTCAGTGCCCTGGATAATACAAAAAAGGATGTGTTGAAGAATTAGTGCAGCAGGGGTGACCTAATGAAGCCGATATAAGGTGTGAGCTCCATTTGAGGTTGGCTTGAGGAAGGAAACTAGCTCTGACTTTTGCTAATCCTATTATAGTTGGGGAGCAGGAGAAATGATGCCAAATGTCATTGCCCTGTGCTTGGTCTTAAGTGGTGAACTATTTTGGGCCTGATGCATCCCAGTCACCCTGTTCAATTCTGACTTAGCTATCCATTTTTATCTTGACCTCAGCAAGTTGGGGAAAATTCATACAGCATTCTCGAGCAGATTTTTTTTTTCTTCTAGCCCAACTTTAAGAATCTATTCAAAAGGCTGTTTTTTTTTAAAAAAAAATCCAAATGTAATAGTTTCCCCCACTTTAAAAAAAAATCATGCTAAAGTCATGGTTTCTTAGAACATTAAAAGCAACATGAAAGCAAACGCACGTTCTAAGCAAGAGAGTCATATTCAGAGAATTGCCTTTTTTTCATCTTTAAATGTATGTGCCAAATATATTTTGTAGATAAAACCCAACCAAAATAGGGATTTAAAAGAGTTGGTGCTTTTTTTAGCCATATTTTTCTCTTTTCCTTTCCTTCCCATCACCTTTTCCTTTTATTTTCATCAATTTGGATCGTGGCTTGTCCTGTATGTCCTCCTCCTCCTCCTCCATCATCGCACCTCTCTGCCTGTCTCCATCCTCCCTTTCCTTTCACTCATCGTGCGTCCTTAGCATGGCAAGGCATTGACCTGATGCATAATCATGTCAAGCAAAATGGTGTATTTGTCTACATTCTCTTTTTCATGGTTTTTCGTTTTCTTCTTCTTTCCTTCCTGCTTTCTCCTTAAAATCTACCGTAGGCAGAGGGTAGGGAAGAGAAGCAACAGCTTTCCTGAAAGCTTTCCTGAGAGCTTTCTCCAACTCGTTCAGCTAGATCAGAGAGGTTGGTTGATTGATAGAAGGACAATTGATTCACGTGATTTGTATGCCATCCTATTCTAAAGATTCCCAAGAAAGGCTTTGTGTTATTTTTTTTATTTTTTTTTAAAAAAGCAGTTTTGCTGGTGACCAAAGCAGACAGCTTATGACTGCTTTGTATGGGAACAAAAGAAGCAAATCTGGGCTGTTGTCTCACGCTTGGGGGACTGAGTGGCAAGCAGCAGGCTCTTTAGCAACAACAAAAAAAGGAAGCTCTCTTGTGAAGCACCCTGCAACATTTTCAAAGGCTGAGTTCATTGTTGGCCCTGCTTATAAGAAAACGTACAGAAGCCTCTTTTAAGCAAGTGGCAGCTTCTCTCTCTCTCTCTCTCTCTCTCCAACACCCCCCTCTCCACACCCTCACCCAATCTTCTAATTAAGACAGAGATGCTGGAGGCAATATGAGATCAGAGACTGGGGTTTTCTCAGAGATTTACAACAGGAAGTCCAACCTCCCCTTGTAGCCTCTTCCTGATCTTCCAAGAAGGCACCAAATTCATTCTTATTAAAAAAAAGAGAGAGAGAGAGAGAGAGAGAAGGAGGTGGGAGGAAGGTGCATCTTCCCTCTCCTTTCTGTTTTTGACATAAGGAGTCGAATATATAATTCAAACATGTCATCTTCTTATCCTTGACAAAAATGCCTCCCTTAAAAAAATCTTCTCTTGATTCACCATGAAGCAATTAAAATATTTTTAATTATAGGAACAGGAATCTTTCATGCTAAATAACCATACAATCTTCGGTCCACTTTAGTATTTCACAGCTACGCACCCACAAACACCCATACATCATATAAGGTTCCTTTTAAGATCAAAGTCTTTTAATTTAACTTCTGCACATATTTCATTAGCGTAGAGGATGGATATGTTAACACTGCATGGATGAAATAGTTCATGCCTTTGTTCAATACTTCATTTGAAATGAATACCATACTTTTCATTGAAGTGGATCATTCCCACTCTTTAAAAACCAACCATCAGGTGATGGATGATGGAAGCAGGTCTTTCCATATACAGGTAAACCTCAACTTATGATCACAATTGAGCCAAAAATTTATGTTGCTAAATGAGAAATTTGTTAAGTGAGTTTGGCCCCATATTACGATTTTCCTTGCCACATTTGTTAAGCGAATCACTGCAATTGCTAACATGGTTGATCAGTGAATCTGGTTTGCCAGAATTTGTGAATTTGCTTGTCAGAAGGTTGCAAAAGGTGATTGCAGGACCCCAGGACACTGCAGCCGTCGTAAATGTGAGTCAATTGTCAAGCATCCAAATGTAAGTCATGTGACCATGGAGATGGTGCAAGGGTCATGAGTGTGAAAATGGTCATAAGTCACTTTTTTCAGTGCCATTTTAACTCTGAGCGTTCACTAAGCCTACCACTGTAAGTTGAGGACTACCTGTATACAACATTAAATATAGTAGGATGGTTTATCAGTTTCATCTCAGTGTGGACTTCTTTGCTGTCTCTTAAACCAAAAGGTTTAAACAATGCGTGGTTTCTGGGTCATTTGTATTTCTTGTCCTTAATTTCATATCTCTCTGTCTCTCCCCCTCCCTCCCTTGCCCTTCTCTCTCTCTCTCACACACACACATACAGAAACTCGCATCCTCTTTCTCTGTCTTCAGAATAAAAGTTTGCAATGCAGTAAGGAAAGGTAATTTTTTTAAAAAAGCAAACAGGCAGTATTTGCAAGACGTGATCAATGTTGGCATATCCCTCATAAGAGATTCCCTTGAGGCAATGGAGTCCTTCATAGAAAAGAAAGAAAAATGTCTCTCTCTCATGCCTCCAGCGTGGA